ATCTTATAGCGCATAAAATTTTTGCATTTGCATTTGCATTTGCATTTGCATGCACTCAATTGCTATGCTCAGTGCAATTGCAAATTTATTATTATTTGCTTTTATTCTTAAATGATGAACGAGTGCTGTGATGAGAGTCGACGAGTGCCACTTCGTAAGAATAGTGGAATATTCGCAAGAATGTTCTTGATATTTGCATAATTTTCGTTTTCCTTCTCGTCTTGCTTGATTTCGTTTTTAAGCCATTCAACGACGGCTCTGTGCAATTTTCTTTAAAATTTTTTCTTTGCTGAAAGAGAATGCAATTATTTGAGGCTCTATAGGCTTGTGAGATGCATGTTAGGGAAGAATGGTCGAGAGTAGGTAATTCCCGATATCTTCCGCTTTCATTGGCCAGCAAAACAAGGAGCAGAGGAAGGGTACCACAGCCAAATCAAAAAGGATCTTCATTTTTATGCAATTTCAGAAAGCCTCTTACAGGTGAATGAAAGCGTTTCTAATTCGAGCTGGGATTTCATGTTTCGCCTGGCCATTAGACATAAAAGTGGATCCGAAATTTTTAAAATCCAAATTGATAACGAATTGAAATTGTTGTCATTTTATTATAATGTGGTGTGTGAAGAGAAAAATTTCATGGTATTTTGCATTACTTTGAAAACCAATTCTTTTTCTATAATCGACACCTGAGATTGTTGTAGTTCCTTTAATTCTCAGCGAAAGTGACAACGTCTTTGAGACAGTACATGTTTACATTTTTTGAGTGTCAATAAGGGTGGCCAGGTATAAGCCAGTCAACTGCATAATTGAAAATTATAGGGGAGAACGCATACCGGTTTGTGAAAGTTGTATTCCCACACTTGCTCTGATATATGCCGATAAAACGCTTAAATCAGTACAATCAGCTGCGAAGCGCCGATGTTTTACATGATTCGCCCTTCGTTAAATCGCAATCAATTGTAGCGAACAAATAAGGGCGGATGGATAAATGAGCGATGTATGAAGCGATATCCAACATTTTTTTGATTATAAGTTTAGTACACCTGGCCAAAATCCATCTTAATTACGGTGCATTCTGCTATCACTCATTGATATATCAATTATTTTCATCAGTTATGGAAGCAAACAAATTTTTTACTTAGTTATTTTTTGAATCGTTTTACTAAATTATATATTACTAAATTTGCAGTTTTATACCAAATATTTATTCCATTTTTTGTCTTATTCAGGTTTTTATTTACTTTTTTTTTAAGTAAATAAATTAATAAATAAATAAAAAATTTAAGTACCATAAGTAATACTGATGACCTTTTCTTTACTGATTCATATTGCTTGTATCGATGGTTTCTTTTTTCTTCTCCCATCTGATTAGTGAGTGAAAAAAGAATGGCCTTCGGTGAACGATCGGTGAACGGTGAGCGAAGATGTTGTTATGGAATATTTAATAGGTAAGTAGTCTTCAAAATAGTTTAGTTTAGAGCTCAAATGAGATGCTCGTTAATTTCATTATTTTTTATTTGTTAAATTGTTCTCTTTAAATTTCCGACTGCTAACAAATATAAGGCGAATGACTAAGGGGAGGATGGTCGAGAATTTGTGTGTTACACTAATTTTAAACACTATGGACTCTTGAGGGGAATACACCTCTTTATAACCGGCACCCTCAAGCACTTCATCCTAGCAGTAGCCGTGGAACTAAGCAAACCAGAAATTTGATTGGCAACAGGCTCATTTGATGAATGAGCATGTTAACCAGAAATTATTCCGTTCAATTTAATCTCTTCAAAAGAATTTTCTTCACGGCTTCTGATCAAATCCTTTTCTAATAATTAAATTTTTAAATTCTTATTCTTGAAAATAGATTTTGGGAATGTCTTTTGCACGTAATTTTGTTTGCTGCAAGTAGAGGGAGGGAACCCTGGGAACGCGTTCCGGTCCCATACGATTTATTCTTGGAAGATCCTGGAAGAAGGTACGAAGATATCGTCCCAGTTGTAAACCGCCAAAATAAAACTATTATACGCTATTCGAACAAAAAGAGAAATGTGGCTGTCAGCAACTCAGCGTTACAATTATTCTTTTTCTTCTTCCGAGGGTGAAAGTTTTAGAGAAATTCTGTTTTTTAAATTTTTTCAGTTGCTCAGTCGAAAGCATTTTCTAACAATGAAAATTCTCCGTTTTAAACTTTTTTTTATTATTTTAAAAATCTATTTTTTCAATAAATTATATTTATCGATTTAATTTTAAATTAATTTTAAAAATAAAATAAAAATTTCAAATTTTATTTATTTATTTTTTTTTGCTGTGATAAAAATGGTTAATTATTGCATTAAAATTCAACGATTAAGTTTTGTCTAAAAATTTCACTTAAAAGTTTGACTTCATCGCGAAAGAATTGCCGAAAAGAGGTTTTGATTTGTCACCAATATTGCTCCGATTTCACTTTTAATGACACATTTACTACCACTAAAAAGTATAGTAAAAGCTGCTTTGTTTAAAAGCGCTCGTCACGGCGTGTCCAACCTGGCTTGCTGGCCTACTGAGCTTCGCCAAAGAGTCATTTGGCAATGGGCCTCGAATTTTTGAAAGATAAGTTTGCTCTTGTCGGAAATAGAATTCATTTTTCGCTTCCTTATTATCAAAAATCACAGCGGAAGAAATTATTTTGAAGAAAATTGCGCTATGAATTTTAGCTTTTTGAAACAAATTTTCTTTTTTATCAGTTCTTCATATCAATCAATAAAGATTTGGAATTTTTGTAAATATTATTTGAAGCGTTATGATCTGAAGAAAAAAATTCTTCTATTCTTCATCTAACGCAGCAAAGCATTTTTAACTTGGCTGCTTCCGCTGGCTCCACCACAGTGACAAATTTCAGAGTCCTCTTGACCTGCTCAACAAGTTGCTAATTATGTAAGCTGATTTGCGTGAAATTACGTAAAATATATTATAAATATCTATTTACAGTGTTTTTCGAAATCACTGTTGTTTGGAAGTGAAAATGGTAGGAGTTCTATTTCTGGCACGAATATATCTATCAAAAATCCAGGCGATATTTCTATTGTGACTCTCTAGCGAAAAATCCTTGGCCTGGTTTGACTGTCTAGCGTAATCAGCCTAACTAAAAATGGTTAGTAATCGTAGAGAAATTAACAAATATCCTATCCTATCAATCTTACCGTAATAAAATCTTAAAAGTTTTTCTTATTTAGATATTTTAACAATAATAATAAAATATGACTTCATTTGCCTATTTGACCTTACCACCAAATTGTTTGTTTACTGATCATTATCACTAAGCAATAAATGATATCGCCATCCATTAATTTTTATCATCACACATTAAGAGATTATTGTCCGTCGCCCTACGTTAAATGTTTTATCACTTTTTTAAAATGCAATAATTATTTTTTAAATTTTGCTTTATTAATTAAAATAATTCAATTTTACTTAATTATAACGGTAAATACGCAACCTTTTTTCTTTCTTTGAGAGCATTCACCACTGCTAATTAGACTCGCTCCGCTGGCTTGTCGCACTAGAGAAATATGCCAGGGAGGCCCTTGGCGACAGAAGTACAGTTGAGTCAGCAGCATCACCCGAATTTTTGGACAGCCGATCCTGCCACGAGTAGTATACTGCATCAGTGCTCCGAATTAGGTAACCACTCTCCTTTGCCTTTTCGACACTTCCGCCCGACGAAGAGTGGGTTCCGAACCCACAGGTCGATTCTGGATAGCAATTGTCTTGTCACTGAGCCATCGATGCACCAAATTTGCTGGTCCAGTCCAAAACCAAATTTAAACACCTAATAGTAATAATGATAATAGTGATAACAGTAACAGTATATATAATAATAATTTGGAAGGACAATAAAGATATCAATCATTAGAAACCTTCAAAATTTTTAAATTATTTGATATTTCAATTTGGGCAAAACGGGTCGAAATTGCATTTCTACTGCAACACTTTCTAAGTTTTCATCAATTCAATCCATCATCAAAATGGTCTTTGATCGCTCTATTGACCTATGACCTCGAATTTTATACGGGCACGCAACGCCGTTGACATTTCTTGCGCTAAACTATGAGTCATTTCGTCCTTTTTTTATGATTTGTATCTAATTTTATTTATATTTCATCGTTAATATTCCTCTATATTTAAATAAAACCATATTTTTTCAGTTATTAATCAAATAAGTGATTAATTGATAAGCGATAAGTGGTAAGTGATAATTTAATTCAGCGTTGGTGATTAAATTTTTTCTGATTATTGAAATAGTGGGCAGTTATATAAATATATGTAATTTATTTTTTTATTTTGCTTTTAATTCTATTGATATGAAGCAGTGCTAATGATAAGGATAATCAATATCAATATCTTTATCTTTATGAAGTGGTAAACTTTGTTGTCAACTGATATATTTACAGTTACAGTTACTTATAGATGATTGTCTGTTCCATGGATTTAACTGCGAATTACTCAGCAAAGGAATAATGACCTTTAACGACCAAATCACTTAACATTTTTTTCTTTTAAAATCAGTTATAAGCCTAACAGAGAAGTATTTTATCAGTGTTCTATTCGACGAAGCAAAATCCAGCACAACTTTATGGAAGAAAGAAATCTGTCTGCCCTTGCCTGCCTATCTCGTAAGTTCTTGGAACGGTTTTCAAATCACTTGTGGGTATTCACATTGTGAGGAATATCTAAAGGATCGGTGGACTACGGCGTGCAACAACGTTTCTTAGCCGGTGGAGGATAGCGAGTTGGTGCTAAATTTTCTGCCAACGGCAAGAATCTCAGAAATTGCAGATATTCATTCAAACGAAGAATTTGTGAAGAATTCGCTGTCAGAATATCGCCGACTTGGCGCTCTACACTATTTCTCTGAGAAATCAGCACTGTTGAAAGCTGTGAATGCCAGTCCACTAAAAGACTGCACAAAAGAATTATCTCTAGGGTTGGTGTTAGGCTTCAGTGACCTCTTGCGGTGGTTCAGTATGAGATCGGCTCGTATTCGAACATCACGCTTCGTCGGACGGCAATGTCAGACACTGCGTTGGTCCTTCGCTCGTCATTTCGCGGTTAAGCAGTATTTGGAGGTAAAAGTTTAGGCGGATCGCCAACATCATCTCAATTTTTTGTACGCCAACAATTAATATGGTACTACAATCAAAACTCTTGTCGTAGTCTTTCGCATTATTTTTAAATGTATTATGTAGCAACATACACCGCCATTATTTCCGCAGGACATATGCAGCAACATGCACCGCCATTATTTCCACAGGACATATGCAGCAACATGCACCGCCATCATTTCCGCAGGACATATGCAGCAATATTAACATGCAGTATTAACGATATTGAATAATTGTCCTTTCGTCGAACTGAACTGTATAAACGTGCAACACACATCTTGCCATCACTAAATTGCATGATAATTATGTCTTATAAGAATTGAATTCAAATAGAAAATTGTTTTTTCTGGCCCCCAGTTGCTATAAATATCATCTTTTTCCACAGGACATATGCAGCAACATGCACCGCCATTATTTCCGCAGGACATATGCAGCAACATGCACCGCCATTATTTCCGCAGGACATATGCAGCAATATTAACATGCAGTATTAACGATATTGAATAATTGTCCTTTCGTCGAACTGAACTGTATAAACGTGCAACACACATCTTGCCATCACTAAATTGCATGATAATTATGTCTTATAAGAATTGAATTCAAATAGAAAATTGTTTTTTCTGGCCCCCAGTTGCTATAAATATCATCTTTTTCCACAGGACATATGCAGCAACATGCACCGCCATTATTTCCGCAGGACATATGCAGCAACATGCACCGCCATTATTTCCGCAGGACATATGCAGCAACATGCACCGCCATTATTTCCACAGGACATATGCAGCAACATGCACCGCCATCATTTCCGCAGGACATATGCAGCAATATTAACATGCAGTATTAACGATATTGAATAATTGTCCTTTCGTCGAACTGAACTGTATAAACGTGCAACACACATCTTGCCATCACTAAATTGCATGATAATTATGTCTTATAAGAATTGAATTCAAATAGAAAATTGTTTTTTCTGGCCCCCAGTTGCTATAAATATCATCTTTTTCCACAGGACATATGCAGCAACATGCACCGCCATTATTTCCGCAGGACATATGCAGCAACATGCACCGCCATTATTTCCGCAGGACATATGCAGCAACATGCACCGCCATTATTTCCACAGGACATATGCAGCAACATGCACCGCCATCATTTCCGCAGGACATATGCAGCAATATTAACATGCAGTATTAACGATATTGAATAATTGTCCTTTCGTCGAACTGAACTGTATAAACGTGCAACACACATCTTGCCATCACTAAATTGCATGATAATTATGTCTTATAAGAATTGAATTCAAATAGAAAATTGTTTTTTCTGGCCCCCAGTTGCTATAAATATCATCTTTTTCCACAGGACATATGCAGCAACATGCACCGCCATTATTTCCGCAGGACATATGCAGCAACATGCACCGCCATCATTTCCGCAGGACATATGCAGCAATATTAACATGCAGTATTAACGATATTCACCTTGCGTACACGATAATCGACATTTATCTCCGTTAATCTCATCGTTAGGAATTTTAAAGCAATTTTATGAAATCGAACATTTGGCTTTCTGCCAAAAAACATTCATTTTTCATTTTTTAAAATCTCCCCGATCAGCTGATTTCGATAGGAATTAATTTTTTTAGGCTTTTGTTTATTTTTTTGTTGAGTGTTGGAGCTGATAATTTAAATTTTGTTGGAACCGTCGTTAATCAAGTCGCTGATAAGAATTGCAACTGATAAGATCGATGATACAATGGTTCTTAGTGGTGCTGGTGGATCTTAAAGATTTCATTTAATAGCTCTTTACTCCTAAGAAGTAAACCAAACTTGAGCAACATGAATAAGTGAAACTGAGAATTAACTATTTTGGTGGAAATTTTCCAGTCTTCAGTTATTTTTTAATGGTTCAAGGGTCAAATATTTACAACAAATAAATTTTAAATTATCTTGATTATCAGTCAGTGGATCGTCTTAAAATATACTGCGAATTAGATGAATTGATCTGATATATCTCCACTAATCTAATCTAAAACCCACTAGTTTTTTTTTCTAAGAGCCCTCATCATTTCCACAGGTCGACTCGTTCAGCTGCCTTTATAGTGCTAGGCAAATTTTAGTTGGACGCCAGCAGAAGTACAGGTGAGTCATGAGAAGTCAGCATGAGAGGTCTCGTTAGGATGTCACTTCGCGATAGATATACGGGCGAGTTGAGAAATTTCGCAGGAAGTCGCTTGGAAATGTGTCGCAGATGAGTCGCTAGCCTGCGTCCGATTTCTTATTTGTATTTATATTTTTATTTCAAATATTTTAAAATAATTTTTTTTAAGATTAATTCAAATGTGAATCGAAATGAAAGCATTTAGCAAATATTTTGCATCGACTCTATCATTATTGAACGTTGAACCTCATACTTTTTTTCAAATTCATGGTTAGTTTTTTTTTTCATTTTTGTTTTATCATCTGTAATTGGTTGAACAGTTGGTACCATTACTGGTTAGGCAGTCTTCGCTGGCTATGAGGGGCGCCTTCAAACCACTCCAGTGATTTCACAGCGCCAGCTTTGAGATGGTTGTGCATGCTATCTTTGCTTTTATTCCTCTTTCCTTTTCCTCTCCCGTTTCATCTTTTTTTCATCGCTAGTAATAGAGCTTCAGATATTTTGTTGCATTATCGAACTATCTTTTCGTTAATTTTTGTTAATTTGTCACTTTTTGTATCGATAGTTTTACAAGTTTACCATGAATAGCGATCGCCATTTCTCACCACATTATTATCTGTTTCGCTTTTGGCCAAATTATTTTCGAAAAATTAGTCCACTACTGTATCAGAGAAATCGTGATTATATTTTTGTAAAAGATAAGGTAATACTAATCACATTTTATCTGACTCATATCAGCTTATCACTTCAGCCATAACACTAATTGTTTAGCAAACTTGTAGTTTAAAAATACTTTTTTTTGCAGGTCTTCGTGCCAGTCATGCTTCAAATGCTATAATTGTTGAATTAAAATTAGTTGACAATACGGTGTTCGAATTCGTTCCTTCACTTTTATTTTCTGTCTATTCCTTATATTCACGGTTCATTTTTCATTTTTTTTCATTTCATTTTCATTCATTCATTTTCATATTCATTTCATTTTTTCATGTATTCATTTTTTTTTTTGATTTTCATGAAATTGAGTGGAAAATATCATCTTATTTTATTCTTTTTCTCGATAATTGGCGAAAAAATTTTCTCAGTATTGGGTGATTATTTTTTAAGTACGTTAATCTGCCTGGTCCAATAACTGCAGTTTTATACTTGCTAGAATGGAATATTTTTGCGATTATTTCTCAGTGAGAGTGATAAGAAGTTTTGTAAACGAGGTTTAAAGATAGGCAGCCAATCTGTGCTTGACAGGAGATATTCTTTTCAAAGCTACCGTAAAATTTTATTAGATTATTTCCCATTCGTTCATACATGGACCCATTTTTTCAATCGATATTTCGATAGATTAGGTATATATTTCCTTTATAATGCCAGCAATACTCCATTGTTTTGGTTTTTCAACAAGCAATCATTTAAAAGGAATCTATTCAGGTCAAAAAACAGAAGATTGTATTTTTATTTAATCCTGAATGCCATAGATGTGTCATTCGAACTCATTCGACAGTTTCTTGAGTCGATGAGACCTTTCGCCGTTAGTTTTAATATTTTGAATTTCTTCGAAAAAAATCCATCGGAACTATGAGAAACTGGTTGGACGATTGAGGTTATGATAGAAATATGAGAAAGATTATTATTTTCCCACTAAAATTATAAAAAATCTTTTATCCAATTGAACAAATAGAACTTTATGCCATTTTATTCACATTATTTTCTACATTCTTTGAATTCTTCAATTTTCAAATGGGTATAATTAGTATCACCTGTTTATTTCTTCGACTTATTTGCCTTAATTTTGATTCTAAGCGATTATGCGACTATAAATTTTCTATATTTTTGAATTGTTGCAGTCATGGTTAGAGACTACGATCGAGCAAATTCTTTGGGTGGATGTGCCATTCAGCATTGAGATTGGTGGTATTATTGCTGATAATATTTTCTTGTCACGAATAAAGGTGCAATTTTTTTAATTTTAATATTCATTATTACATTTTCATTAAATTTTTCTCGCTGTATTTTCTCATTATATTTTCAAAAATATTGCAGAATAGTTTCTGCGATCTGCAAAATGTCACCGATTATGTCGAACCTTGTAATTTTTCCACGAATTTGGGCGGCCTTATTGATCCACTGGTTTCGCAACAATTTTTCAAAATGATTGTGGTATTATATAAATATTTTATTTATTTATATGTATCTGTATAAATATGGGGATAGGATGGCTCTGTGAATTGTTGCTCAATTTGGAGTAGCCGAAGCTGCTGTTCGATTCCCCACAGAAGCAAATCTGTATTCAAAAATCAGGGTGATGCTGGCGACTCACCTGTACTTCTATCGCCAAGGGGCTCTCTGGCATATTGCTCAATGCGACAAGCCAGTGGAGCGAGTTTAACCAGTAATGGTGAGGACTCTTAAGAAGAAGAAGATCTATATAAATATATAGTTAATAGTTAATATATAGTTAATATAGTTTATATTAATATATTAAAATAAATATATTAATAAATATTAATATATTAATATATTAATATTAATAATTTCATAGAAAATAATTTTGCCTTATTTTATTCATTCACTGTAAAGCATTTTTGTTCACAGGAAAAAATTAGAAATGAAATTTTTAAAAAGTGAAATTTTCTTGGCATTTTATTTGGAAATATTTTATTTTTCTTCCTATTTATTTGTAGTCTGCAGAGGATTTGGTGAGAAGAATTCATCATATGGCTAAAATTTATATGAGAATGCATCAAGATCTGAAAAATATTGAATTATCGAGCAATAATTTTTCATCATTAGACGTCGATCAGATAAAAGATCTCATTGCAAAGTATGAAATTTTTTAATTATCACGAATAATGAACCACAGCATTTTTTTTGCCAGTTGATAACATTTTTGGTAGTATTTTACTTTTCAAATGCGTGTTTCAAATGGTTTGGTTCTAGAAATAAACCTACCATTAGGAATGAAATCCGGTTAGATTCTAGGGAGGACAGTTTATTTTCGCGAATTGACGATTTTTTTACTTTTCAAATTAGTTTTCCAAAAATTATTTTTTATTTGCAAAACTTTGATTTAAGATTAGAAAATCAGTGGTCAATTGTTATTAATGAACCTGAAGGTTTAAATCTTCTTGAAGATGGTCGACTTATCTGTGAGCAACTGGTAAAACAATATCCGATGTTAGAAGAACTGGATTCCTTCTTATACGTGTATGATTTTATTTTTCATTTCATTTATCATTTATCTGTTAAATTGGTTCATATATTGTTAATATTATTGCTTCAAAATTTTTCCTTTTATCAAAATCGTTTTTTATAATTCATTAGTTGAACCGAAATAGGATTTTTTGTTCATTTTTGCTTAGTCTTTAAAAATTTTCAGAGATATTGTCGATCAAACCATACGTGCTTATAAAGAATTAAGTTCCGTGATTCCAAATATCGAGTCAGCGAAATCACGAAAATTGAGATCACTTCTCGTAGCAATAGATGCTGTAGAATTTTTAGAGATAGTGCTCAAGGTTTATTTCATTCTTGATGAAGAATCTGGAAAATAGTGATTATATTCACATATTTCCCTTCTTCAATATCTATGTTGCAGAAATCGCATAGTTTTGAAAAAACTTTGAAAGAGCTTGAGCGAATGAAAAATGTAAAATCTTTCAATGCTGCTAGATTGTCTACTCAGGTTGTTTATTCTCTTCATCTTATAATTTTTTATTTTTTTTTTATAAGTTAATATTTTATTTTTATAAGTTAATTATAAATCCCAGATTGTTGGTCAGATTTTTAAAAAATATTTTTTCTCAAACTTCAATCATTTGTCTTTTGCATTTGGTTTCACTTAGAAATCTTATTTTAAGATCTTACGGACTGATAGAATTATTTTCAAACTTTGACATTACCTCCTATATTTCTTTAAAGGCCCTTATATTCTTTATACTCTTCGAATTCTTCAGTTTCCTCCAACAACTCTCTTTAGCTCTCTTCCAATTCCCCTATTGCAATCGCCGAGATGTTTTTTGAAATTGTTTAATTTTTGTATACCCTTGCAACAACGTATTTTAAAATTTGACAGGGTGATAAAATGGTAGTTTGTAGAAAAGGTATTATGAATGAATGTGGAAAAACTGAAGTGGGAGGTTAAGATGATGCTTCCAGTGTAAATTATGAAGACGGTATTCAGTGGTTTTTCCGATTTGAAGATGGCAAGAGGAATACCAGAGAATTGCTATGAGTCGGGATTTTATGGATTTCTGGAAGGTGTCATTATTTGATTTTAACGAATAAGTTCCGATGTACTTATCAAGGAGCTACAATATTGGTTAAGCAGTTTGAGATGGTGTAGAAGATTGAAATATTGTCAATGAATGAAAAATATTTCTGGCGCAATGTACAAGAAGATAGGGCATTAGGAGAGATTATCTGGATTTTGAAAGTTGTTAAATGGATAAGAGATTCCAGCGGTATTATTGGAAAGACAACTTCTAAAGGATATTATTAATAAATTGTAGTGAAGTGGAACTTTAAATGTGTAGGAAGTCTTAAAAGCAATAACCGTGTAATAAGTAGGCATTTAGGAGATATTAGAAAAAATTGTTTCCACAAAATCAAGCAGGTAGAAAAACAATTTTGGTGAATCGATTGAAATAACAAAACTGCAATAAGGTTCACACGAAACATTTTATATTTTATTTTTTGATTTTTTGACCGCAACATGACTAATCATTGTATATTTTGTATAATGTTTGTCATGCCAAACGCTTTAACACTATTGCAGTTGAAAAAAATCGAAGAAAGAGCTGCTGAGGAAGATATTCAGTTAAATGAAGCACTTGATTATTTGGATAATACGAAAGATTTACTAGAGGAATACTCTATTAGTGATTCGAATCGAGAAATACTTAAGAATGCGCGGAAAAGTCTCGAGGATATCGTCGGGACAACTAAAGAAAGAATCGAAGATGTTCGAAAGAGTATTCAAAATGCATTGGAATGTAGGCGTCTTGTAGATCAGGTTTTATTATTTCTTCTGCTTTACAATTAAGAAATGGCAATTTTCAAATAAATTTTTTTAGGTACTTTTCATGAAACTTTATGTCAAAGTTTTTTAGCATCAAATTTTTAAACATATTTTTATTAATTTCGGAATGAATTTCTTTCAATTGCGAATGTGTATTGCAACAAATTAAACAGTTAATTAAGTAACAAATCACTGTAGTATCAGTTGTATTGACACTTTTTCATCGGTCTCTTCATAGATTTCACAAATATATTTCATATCATCACTGTAGGCGTATGTGTTCAATGTCATAAATTTGAAGATTTCATAAAAAATGTTTAAGGTCCATAAATTTTAAAATAAAACTTCACTATATTGTCTTTGGCGTAAAAAGTTGGGAATTTGCTGCAGTGACTGTTGCTTAGATAACAAACACTTAACTATCGGCAAAATAAACATTGATAGTAAATATTTATTTTTTACGATGTACGAATGGGCGCTGCTGAATGCGAAACGATTTGATGGTGATTCTTGTAAAACACTGTTGATTGATATTTATCCTGCTGCTGCAGCATCAATACTTTCGGAATATTCTGTCACATGTAATGATCAATTGGTATCCTTCCATTATGACTTTTTTTCATTTTTTAGTTCTTTTCTGGTTTATTGTATATTGTTGCAAGATTTTATGCAATTTTTATCGGTGATTTTGTTATAGATGCGAGATGAAATCGATACTCTTTTAAATGATTGCGAAAAGGCTCTTGAAATTTTAAAATGTGAAGTTAGTATAGTCGAAAATAATAAAACATGCTACAACATTTCTGAACATCCTGTCTCCTTAAGCAGCTTGGATGGTACTTCAGCATTCAGCAGTAGGGATGCACATAAAGTTAGTATTTTCAATAAAGATACTCATAATGTTAGTATTTGTTATCTTTTTTTAAATTTTGAATTGAAAGGCCGATAATATCGAGTTTTCACTTGATAAAAGCTGCATTTAGGACTTACGTTGTAAAATGGAAATTTTTATATTTCAAATTTGCAAATGAGAACAGAAATGACAATATGAGAGCTTAACATTTTTAAATTAAGAACATAAAAATGCACAATAAATATTCGATAAATTATGTACTTTTTTCAGTCAAAAAATAAAAATTATATTATAAAACAGAATTGATCTATTTCCAGTTTAATCGAATTCGTAAAATTCAGTGCCATAGTGCTGATTATGAAGGCATTCGAGGATCTGTTGATATCCCAGAAGAATCTGAGCGCTATCCCGTACGTTCGACTCGATCTTTCAATAATATACTGGATGTGGAAAATCATTTTGAGAGGACATCTTTAGTGGAAACTTTATCAAATGACAATGTTTTATCAAATATGGCGGGAGAGAAATTCGCAGAAATGGATGTTTTAAACGTGGATGAGTTTCGCTATGCAGGTCGGTCCGATTCAGTTAGTCCTGCGCCTACGCAATATGAAATACCCATTACGAAAGACGATGATCAAAGGATTTATGAGGTAATTTCATTCTAACTTCAATTATAAAATTATCCAATAAATGCATACAAATTTAAATATATATATATGTATTTTTTTTGGTTATCTTTAAGTCTTATTTTGATAAGAATTTTATTGAAATTTTCGCTTATAAAATAAAAAGATTATATTGTTAAGCTGTAGTTAATTTTCGCTCGATTAATTTTGGCGGAATCAAGAAATCAATTTCAAGGTGAACGACGATGGGGAGAAAATTAGATGGCGTAATTACTCCTGGTCACCTATTAATAATTCTGTTGTGCCGAGTATCTCTGCTTCATTTCGTCAAGAAGAAGTTTCTTTTTTTGATGATATTGGCTGCGCTCCTGTTACACTGGATTTAACAGACAAGGTTTTTCTTTATTTTTTAAACTTTGAATTTCTTATAATTTTTGCCTTCTGTTTGTCATCATTCTGCTAATGTAATAATTTGTGTATGGATCAGAAAACTGATGTCGTTTTTGCTTTTAGATTATTGCCTCTATGTCTTCAAAAACTCTTCATAAGCACTTAGATCAACGAAGATCATCAACTTCGATACCACCACCCGGCCCATTATCAAATAATGGTTGGATTAGGCCTGGCTCTGCTAGATTCGCTTTGGGATCGAAATCACGACCTCCTTTATTGAGAAATTTGAGCTCAGATTTTTTAGATCATGTAATTTTTTTATTATAAATCTTCATACCTTTTTTTTTTCTTTTTATTGCTTTATAATTATTGAATTAATTTTGATCCTATCCTAATTTTTTCTTAAATACAAATGGTTAAATTTTGAAATTTTTTCAATGAATTTTTCTTTTAGCGTTTTCCTTCATCTTTCGGCGTTTGTCATTCTCTCGATGAATCGAAATACAGTACTGTTGATACTTCACGTCCAGAAAGTTGCGTCGGAAGCGGTAGCATCCATTTCGTATCGGTTTGCATGTGGAAAAATTTATTTTTTATTATATACTTTAAGTCTTCATAAAAATTTGATCATTTTCTTTATTTTGTTTGTGAGCATCACTTATTTTCAATTAAACTATTGTTTTGTGGTATTTCATGGTTGATTTTATGTAATTAAAATTTCATTCAATAAATAAAGAAGCGAATTCCGTAGGGTTCTGATGCTCTTTTTTAAGGACCATTTAAAACAGACTGTTCAACACAATCGGAACAAATTTGCATGATCTATGATTGGCTAAATCCATCTAAAACAAGTAATGCAAATTATCGTATCGAATGTACAGTTGTGCGTGATTTGTTGGATACTGAAATTGAATATGTGTCTGCATTGCGAAGAGTTGTTCAGGTAGTCCCTTTTATTATATATGAAGTCGGAATCTTTTTATTTTTTTCGATATTTTCTTCATTTTATTCTATTGTTTTTTATTTATTTAAAGGATTATCTACCGGAATTGGTTAGAGCAGATATACCATCGCATTTACGTGGTAAAAAATATTGCGTTTTTGGTAATATCGAAAGATTATTCCAATTTCATGCGCACAATTTTTTGCCTCAGTTGATCTCTCGATTAAGGTGCGTGCTTTTTTTTGCTTTTTTTCAAAAGTGAGTATATTAACCTAAACTAAATCTAGATTAACCTAAATCTTGATCGAATAATAAACATCCTCTGCGAGATTTTAGTTATCATGAAAAAAGCGAGTCGTTATCATTAACTATTGGTAAATTGTTTGTTGATTGCTTGAATTTTTTCAATCTTTATTCGCTTTATGCGAAAAATAAGCCAAAATCAGACCAATTGTTGCGTGATTACGCTAACGACTTTTCTACGATATTCCACGTATGTTTTTATTTGATTTAATTTGATTGATTGATTGATTTTTTTATTAGTTTTTTATTTTTTTTCTAAAAATGAATGAATTTCTAAGATTTTTGATAAAATAAATTTTTTATTTGTGAAAATGTTAAAAGCAAATTTGTTATTGAAATAAAATACTAATAAATCTTTAATTTTTATAAATTCTTCCAAATATTTTTTTTTAGGACTTGAAGGACTTGTCGATTCTATTAATGCGTCCTGTTGAAAGAATTGCAAAATACACTCTTGTGTTACAACAATTGTTTAATGCAGCACCACTGGACAAACTGGTATAGGATAAGCGTCACTCTTCTTATTGTTTATTTTTTTGATTCTGGTAGATTTACTGACTAAAATCACTTTCAGAATATTATTGAAATTCTGGATTCAGTTGTTGCTGAAATAGGTGGGCAGATTCGTCGTGGTTCTGATTTGCTGGCAATGGAGCGAATTACTTGTTGTGATTTAAATTTGAAAGAGCAAGGCAAATTGATTCGTCATGATACGCTTTTCGTAATCGAAAAGCATGGATTGCTTCATTCAAAAAAACGAATAAGGAGTTCATTCCTCTTTGAAAAATGTGTTGTACTAACAAAGCCGAAGTTACGGAAATTATCGAGGGGGTGCACTTATGATGAATTGAAATATAAAGCTAGCATTCAGGTGAATATTGAAATATTTTTATTTTTCTTGCATCATTTTTAATTTCTTTAAGAGAATTCGATAGAGTTAGACCTCCCAGTATAGCTCATTTCTTGAAGTTAATTAAAGTCATTTTTCACATCTCTGAATCTTTATATTGCAAAAATTCTTCTTAGCCATATTTTTCTATTAGATACCGTTATTATTTTGTTAAAAGCGAATTGTTATTAAACTTTTAAGAAGAAATATTATTTTAACCCTTAATCTCCCAGGTCTCTGATTGTGGACTCGAGATTGAGGATGATAGGAGATGAGACAAGATTTTTTTAAAACAAATATAAGAAGTAAATGTGAAAAATATATATGTTATTATAGATGACTGATTGTGGGCTAACTGAAATGGTCAAAGACTCTAAAGTGAAGTTTGAACTATGGTTTCGAAAGCAACGAAATTCAATAACATACATTTTAGAGGTTAGCCAAATATTTTAAGGAAATTTTTTGTTTAAATTGAAAAAAAATTTTAGGCGCAATCACCAACTGTTCGAGATGCATGGATAGGACATATACGATGCATTTTATGGAAACAAGCAATACATAGTAGAGAAGAAAGTAATCGAGAAAAGGCTAGCATGGGTGATGCAACTTACATTCATTTAGGGCCTAATTCTGTAAGTTCTTTTTATACGTAAAACTGATTTGGATGGTTACACCACACTGAGGCATCTCACGTGGGGTCCATAACTACAGCTGGCAGCTGGATTCCAACCATTCATACCATTCATTTCTTCTAAGAACAGTTTTCCTAGATTGGAATCGAACCCCAGTTTTTTCCTCAGCGAAAAAATAACATTTTAATCGTGGCCCTATTCTTTATTAACGTATTAAATCATTTTTTATTAATTTATGGTTATTTAATATTAATTTGCTTTATAATTTTATATTTTATTATTAATTTTGGTATTTAATATTTTAATAAGTTTCGATTCTCTTGGTATATGTTTAGTATGCGAATGTTTCTGACTTTGACTCAACAGAAGGATCTCGTCGACCACGCTCGTTAATTTCACTTTCGGTATCCACATGTTCTAGTTCAAATATTTTTCGAATGATAGGCTCACATGGTAAGAATCTTTAATTTACCGATCAATTGTTGATTTTTGGTTCTTTTAATGACAATGGATGAAATTTTGAGATGTTAATTTGGAATTGGATAGAGTTGAAGAAAGCGAGGAATTGGAGTTTTCTAACGATTTGAACAATACGGTTTCATATCGTAGAAAAATCGAAGGAAGTACATTGCCACGACATTATGCACCGCCCCCACCGAAAATATAGTTAATATTTTAGATATTTTAAGCTTTTTGCTTTATTACAAATATTGCTTTTTGATAGAATTTTATAAATTCTTGTAAATATAATAGTTATAAAAATTCTTAAAACTTTAAATTTTAACGCTTTTAAAATTTTAATTTCTTTAATGTTTTTTTAAAATTAAAATTAATATTAATATCATTTAACTTAAATTCGATTTAAGAATGATTATTTAAATATTTGCTCAAAAATTGTAAACTTTCTCTCTAACAATTTTTATGATATATTATTTATGATAAATAACTTTGCAAAGTAAATTTTGGAAACAAATTTTCTTGTGCACTTTTTATTAAAATAGATTATAAATAAAAAAAAAAGATTTTATATGAAAATGCCCTTATTAAATGTATTAGTGTAATATGAAATTTAGGGAAAATAGTAAGAATAATGAAGAATATAAGGAAGAGTTCATTTATTTCGATTATACAGCTTTTGGAGATACAAGAGATTTATTGTTTAAAGCAAATTTAATATTTCAATTTTACAAATTTTGCAAATTTTAAATTTTATCCAAATAGTTAATAGTTATAAATTTGGACGATGATTTTGATTTCATTTGATTTCAATTCTTAAAATTGTCTTAAAATTCTTCACCCAGTTGTTATCCAGGTTCGGTGACTCCTAACCAACTGTTTCTGGCACAGGAAGCAGAGATATCATTGATTAGCGAGTCAGAAAAACCTGAGTATGATAAAGTATGATAATGATAAAGAATCATTATTTAGTGAAATTTAAAAAAAAATTAATATTATGTGCAACATTCCATATGCTTGAGGAGGTTTAAAAATATGCTTTATTCTTCAACAAAAATGAACTATGGAAGAAACATGGACAGAAGAATTTTTCTAGTAATTACAACTTATTTCACGAAGCGTAGAACTCACTTAAAGAACACTGTTTAGTCTGACAAAAGTATTTACGAAGAAGCTTAGATATTTGATATCAATTAGCGAACTTCTTAGATCAAAGTTTCTTCTAACTGCTCTCACCATTGCCGGTTAGGCTTGCTCCACTGGCTACAAGGGCAAGACGTCTCCAAGCTGTTCGGTCTGGCTATCGCTGACAATAATAAAAGCTATTCCTTTTTCCACCATCCAAGTCGCTGGTCCACCTCTATTTTTAAATTTCTTAACTGTATAAATCCAGATCTTAATTGGCCCCTTTTGATGCTATCCATCAAAGGGTTCAGCCAATAGCGAAATATGTGCCAGCTTCTGCGGCAAACGACGAAGAATGTGTCCTAATCAGTGAAGGCGACAATCAATGATGGTATATCAATGGAAATGTTATTTGAGCGAAGGTGGATGCAGTTATATTAGATTTTATCCATTCAATAAATCCGTTAAATGTATTTCAGATTTACATATATTAGATCTGATTGTCAAAGATAGATAACTTCTCCACTCTTATCGACCGTGGCAGCCACATAGCAAGATCGAGTGAATTGCAACTACACAGACGCTGCCTTCCGGTTTATGCAGCGACGAAACTAGTTATATTTTCGTCTTTTAGAGTAGATTCAAGGTTTAAAATCGAGCACCGACAATAAATTTATAAAAATAAGCTATTTTATCAGCATCTTATATTTACATAGATCTTGAGTTTGTTTCTTGCTACGTAAAATCGCTGAAACGCGAGACTACCATTAGCCATCTTCTATAAATTTATGACATCAAGTTATATGCCATCTAATCCTCAGATCTAGCGAGGACATTAGAATACGGATTAGAGAAATGTGACTCTTATCGATCCGAATGGTACTGAAGAGAGGAAAAAATAGTAATAACTGGTGGAGATAGATCTGCCATCAAGATATATAGCGGACTATACAGATTAGCTACTAGGTACAAGTACCTTGGTATCCCCTAGTCACATTGCAACCAGGATGATTAAGTCTGCAACATCTCAATACCGTCAAACGGCAGGACAAATAGCCCTCAGTGAGAAATCCATGCCATAAATATATACGCTCCACCATCAGGAACGCAGTTGAATGGATGGATAGATGGATAGTAAGATGGACAAAGACAGACATGGAGGATACTGATGTAAAGACTGGAAACTCCTCAAAATGCACGAAAATTTCTACCCCAAGTCCAATATTCAAAGATTTTAACCTGCGAGAAAGGCAGGTGGGGCTTGTTGAGTATGAAAGCCATTGCCTTGAACGAAACCCGAAGCATATAGGAATACATCAGCAAGATGGCACCAAAGGATGAGCTATTGAAAAAGTGCCGGAAGCTACTACATATATTGGAAAAAAATAACTAAGCAGAAGAAGCACTATGGCAATACAAGACCTTCCATGGTTTGTATCATAAGGAATAGAATGGGTCAGTGGATTGTTGCTCAATTGGGAGTGCGGATGCTAAGATTCGATTCCCAAGGACAAAACCTTTACAAAAATCTGGATGATGCTGGCGACTCACCTGTACTTCTATCGCCAAGGTATATTGCCCAATGCGACAAGCCAATGAGACGAGTTTAACCAGTAATGATGAGCATTCTTAAAAAAAAATGGGTTAAACCATAGATAACTCAGATATGCCCAATGCGACAAGCCAATGAGACGAGTTTAACCAGTAATGATGAGCATTCTTAAAAAAAAATGGGTTAAACCGTAGATAACTCAGAAATGAGAAATCGAAATCCTATCTTTGGCTGGAAAGATTGAATTAAAAGGCAAAAATGAAGCATTAATCTTCTTCATTTAAGAGCTCTCACCATTACTGGTTAGGATGGCTTCACTGGCTGAAGGGGTAAAACGTTTCCAAGCTGAGAACTGATGCCACTGTCGGTAGTAACAGAAATCATTCCTTTTTCCATCATCTGTGTCCATATATTGCTGGTCCACCTGCATTTCCAAAGCCTTTTCTGACTGTATCAGTCCAGGTCTTGATTGGACCACTTCACTTGAAAAGCATAACCAAGTAGCTGGCATCGTCTAAAAGAATATCAATATATGGCTTAGACTCTCCCAAATCTAGATGGGAGATTCCCCAGATCTTGGGGAATGAGGCGAAGATCCTGCTCCATTCAGATCGACGAACAAATGCCGGCCAATCAACCAGACATCGTGGTAATTAACAACAAGCAGAAATCACCACTGGCGATACATTTAAATGCTTTTTTACTTTCATTACCATTGTAGGTCACCCTTATCTGTTCACTAACTGCAGCAATGAGTTTGAACCTCTCGGTAGCAGTAAAACTGTCATAAAAAATAATAATAACTGAGAAGAGTCGCGAATCCAATTTTCTTCCCATGAAAATGCGATAAAATTTTTCAAGTTGATAATGATTTATGATTTTGAAGCAAATTCATTCAACCTTCGTTAAACGTAATTTTTAAAAGATAATTATTATTTAATAATTATTTTACCATTTATTATTTAAAAATAAAAGAATAATTATTTCTTATTTAAAAATTAGCTGAAGTGAAATATACTTCTCAGATTTCACGTTGAATGATTTAGTCGCGTAAGTGAACCTAGGAGAGCCTTTAAGCAACACAGCTTTCGATTGCTATGTTTAGCAGTAAAATTCAATAAAGCATTCGCAAAAATGGTTGGAAATAGCCAATTTTTAAAAAATTTAAACTTTTACACAATTTAATATTGTTTTAAAAATTTATGCAATTCGATTTTCCGAGGAAAAACTAAGAGAAACTAATTTTATTAATTTTTCTTTTTTTTGTGAATTATAATTATAGAAAGTACTCGCAGAAAATTTTTTGAGCACAAATTACATAGAAATGAAGAAACGTGTAATATTTTTATACACAACATAGGATATTCATTAAAAATTTTTACCAGCAATTATATTCAAATTCACAACAACGAATTAGCAAAAATAAGAAAAATTATAAATAAATTTACAAATTATTAGAGAGAATGCGTCTCGAAATTCGTTTACGATAAGACTTTCATTACTTCTATTTTTCATTTTATTTGTGAAAAATGCTGCTCACTTCAAAAATCGTACAAGGATTAGCAGCTGAGGAAAGCTCCGCGTCATCCCAAATGCTCAATGCTAGAATTACTGGAATTGGTATGAAATTCGCTCGAACTATTCCAGCCCCATCCTTCTCTTTTTAATAATAAGCATTTCTTAATAAGTGGAATGTTTTTCGACAAAAGTAACAAATTTTTCTAGGCGAAAATTGGAAGCATCTTCTCCACAACACGGATCTTATATTTATCCTCCATTTAATAAAGTATAAAAGCAAAAAAATTTGAGCGATCCGCATATAAGGTAGCGACGATATTCACTGTCACATCAAATATTTACTAATTAATTAAACGTTCGTTATTTAACCGTACCGTAACAGACAAAATTAATGATAAAAAACTGATATACCCAGCTATACGAAATTGAGAAACAACGAAAATGAGATAAAGAAAACCGCAAATATATGTGAAAACATACAACATAATTGAAACATAAAATAGGTTTGCAGCATGAAAAGTATAAATTTACGCTGCGATTATATACGACAAAAAAAAAGATATGGCAAATCACCGATCGATGAAAAAGCATTTAATTCGACGTATAACTTATTATTATTATTACTATTATTATTATTATAAAGCTGAATTAATGAAAATAAAAAATAAAAATCAAAATAAAAAACGATTAGAAGGAAATAAATGGACTGATAAAATACACGCAAAAATAACAATCAGTGGTTTAAATTATAAGCGAAATATACTGTTTAAAAAAAAAATTTATCAGAAATCAAGAATGACGAAAAAAAATTATACTAATCTAGAAGTTCAAGAGAAATAAGCATGGAACAAAAAAAATGGAACATGAAAATAACTAAAACCCGTTTTATAAAGCGCCACTGCAGCTCACATACTTTCCATCAATATTTTATTAGAAATAGCAACTCATTTCATAATCCTTAATCACAAACAATATTCAAATGAAAGGTCAAAGGTGAAAACAAAATAGTAAATTTGAGATCCACAAGTGACCAAGTACGCTGATATAACTATTATAATACATATTTTCCACAGTAAAATGAATTGTGAATAAGCATTTGTCGTGGCGATTCAAATGCCTTTAGAAAGCAAAAAAAAGATATCACCAATAGATTCAATTGGTACTTTTTTAGCTCGGAAGGAAGCTTTATGGCTTGTCCAAATGCCATTAACCAGATGCCATTTTCTCCTAACGAACAACAACAAAACATATCGCAAAGTATTTACTAAACGCATATTGCACGAGACTGGTAAGAAATCTAATCGATAGCATATTCTGGACCAAAATCAGGAACGTTCTGATCCTTATAACCCTTCAACCAATATGTGATTTGTTTTCCTTTGCCTTTCATTTCAACTTCACCGCGTAATACAAGTCGAAACCCGCTGTCTTTGTCGAGAATTTCTTTGGTTTGACTACTTACATGAATTCGTAGTGCTAAAATAAAACTTTTCTCATTTTTTTTTAGACCAACAATTTATTTTTTAATACAATAAAAATTTATGCAATGCTTTTTCAATTTTATCAAAAAACAGCCTTGTTGTAAGTCAATAAGTATCTTAAATTGGCCCAAATTATCCTCGGTCATAGATTTTGATTTTTTAGATATATGTAAAGCAAAGCTAAAACATACGCAGCCCGTTACTCTCCATTCTACTACTTGTATTAACCGTGTCACCAAATAGACAATACCGTGGCATTTTGCATCCGACAACTCCCGCAACAACCGAACCTAAAAGCTAATATATATTTATATATAGCATTTTTTTAAAAATTTATGAATTTATGTTGTGGGACAAAGCTCTGGTAATTTTAAGAACAAATAATATTTGCGAGCAAAACAATGGTTTTGACAGTTTAGAAAATTTATATATATCTAAATTTATTTATATCTATTTTATATATTATATTAATATTATATTATACGTTTTATATGTTTTTGAGAATCAAATTCAAAAACTTCGTTTGAATTTAATCCAACTTGCAAGCAATTCACATATCAAATTCAGAAGTTTTTTCATAAAATCCCGAAAAAAAACTAACCAGAATGTATTCCAATACGTAATTTGAGCTGTTCATTTGGCCTATGCCTTATTACAAAGGTTTTCACTTTGTGAAGTAATGCGAGCGACATTCGAGCTATTTCTGACGCATGTTTATCATGCTTTTCTGGCAATCCAGAAACGACCATATATGCATCACCAATCGTTTCAACTTTATAAACTTTAAAATTATCCACAACGCCATCGAATGCCATATATAAATCGTTTAGCAGCGTAACCACCTACGATATCGAAATGTAATAAATTTAATCTAATATTTTAATAAAACAGAGAAGAATCAAATCGAAAAGTAGATGCCTAAATAAAAATTCCCAAATTAATCCCTATATTTAAATCCTTACAAATCTCATTCGCATATCTAAGCGAAGCTGACATTCATGATATATGAAAGTAAACTTTGTCAATATATATTTATAAAATAAATCGACTGATTTTTTAAATATTCATGATTCTGTGAGAGAGAATTCTAAATCTATGAGAGAGAATTCTAATTTAAAAATTCGAATAAAAAAGAAGCACCTGCATCGGTGTCGACATTGAGGAAAGGGCAGTGAAACCGACAATATCAGAGAAATATATTGTTACGCTATCGAAGGCTTCTGCTTGCACCGCTTGTCCGCTTATCAACTATATATTTTAAAAAATTAGCTGAGAGAAATAATTTTGAAATTCTTTTTGAGAAAAAATATCGAGCAGTTTCGAAATCGATATGATTAACTTGTCAACAAATTTGATAAAATATAATATAATAATGTTTTAAAAAAAAGATCACCTGATCGGCGACACTTCGTGGCAAAAGTTGATGAAGTAAATCTTCAACTTTTTTCTTCTCAGCGAAATATTCCTGAGTCCTTTCTTCAACCAGTCCCTCTAAATTATTGGCATATTGTTCCATTCTTTTTAATAAATTATCTACAAGATTTGAAGTTTCATTGGTTCTGAAAATATTGTAAATTTTTTAATTTTTTCGCTTGATTTTGGTGTTTGTTAGAAATTTTTTAAAATTAAAAGAGATTTCAGAATTAAAAATTTTATTCCTAAATAAGAATAAAAATAAAAGGTCAACCAACAAAAATATTAAAAATTTGTTTTTGAAAATATTAAAAAATATTTTTTATTATTAATGAATATAATAAAATTGCCCTATAAAGAACTACAGAAAACTTTAAATTGCTTTGATAATCGCAATGAATTCCAATGTGATTAGATCGAATGTAACTTCGACCTCGAAAGTGTAATAATAGATGTCATCGGTTTGTATCGAAAAATTTTTTTTCATTAAACCTATTTATTAACAAATTTAATAAAAATTAATAAATTTTTTTCCATAAAATCAATTTGCTCATTTTGCTCATTTGCATATAATTTTACATTCTACTTTTTTTCTTTTCTCTTGCTGTGAATGTATTTTTTTTAATCGAATTTTTCTTTTTTTCAAGTCAAAATATTAACTTATTAAGAGATCGAACTACTTTGCGTATCACCGAAAAATCTGGCCTATCATGAGGGTCTTCTGCCCAACAGTTAATCATTAAGTTGATTAGATTTGGTTCCATTTGATCGTCATTTAAGGCACTTTCGAAAATTTCAGGCCTATAAAGTTCTTCATCAAAGCCGGGTACCTTTCGAACTAGATCGTATATCTCTGAAACAGTGAGAATAAATAAGTCCATAATGTTCAATCTTGGATGCATTATGAATTTCGCGGCTTGAGTAAAAAGAATATTTCGATTGAAAAAAAATTTCAATACCTTTCGGTGACGGTTCGTCATTCCTATAAAAAGCCCCTTTACGGAAAAGCATCTCATGTAATATAACGGCAAAGCTGTACGCGTCTCCTGATTTCGTTCCGTTTGGAGGATATGCGCCAGGATTTCGAAGAATTTCCGGTGCTGTCCACATTTTCTCTGAAATGATCTATGATATTATTTAAAATCTTCATGTTATACAAGAATTTCAAATTAATTAAGAGTATCAAATTAAGATCTTTTACCATCCGATTTTGTACCAGTAATAAGTTCATCTCGAATTACGCTATCTTGTAATTCTTCTTTATTTCATGTTTACATTTATTATTTCTTTTTGCATTTTTATTACAAATGTTGTTTTATTTGCTGCAAGCACATGGCGTTAATCGATCTGTTTGGTTTGGCTGAGATTTCAACAAACAATATAAAATGACTAACTTATTTGACTGAATTGGGACAAACTAATGGCCAAATCGACCAAACAACTTTTTTCTTTCATTCGCATCATCTAAAATTGGTCAGCTAAAAAAAGGAACAAAAAATTTAACTGGCACCTACTTTTATAGAATGCGTGCTCTCCGATTTCTTCGATATTTTCTTCTTCTAAAGCATGAAGTTGATGAAAACCGAAGTCGGTTACTTTTAATACAAATCTGCTATCAACAACACAATTCGAAGATTTCAATTTGCCATGAGAACCAACGAAACTCCCATGTAAGAAATACATTCCCTTAAAAATATATTATTTTATAAAATATAAATATTTTATAACTTATAACTATATTTAATTATAACTTAAAATATTATAAAATATATAAAATATATTATAAATTATAATTATAAAAAATTTTAATATGCAAAAGAAAAATGAATATGACCTTTACTAAATCGTGCAGCAATGAGTATTTCATCATTTTATCGAGTTCAATTTTCTCATTTTCAAGAATATCTTCCAGTGATCCCTTCGGACAATATTCTTGCACAAGACAGTAATGAGGACAATCAACGCAAGCACCAGTAAACCTAGGAGAAAAGCGCTTTCAGTTTAAAATTTTTTCATTTTCGCCCCTAAATGTTTGATCCCTAAATCCCTAAATGTTTGATTATAATTTACTATGATTTCTTAAATATTCGAGCAAAATTTATGTTCGCAGTAATCAAAACTAAAAATTTCCGATTCTTCTGCTAAATCTATTTCAGTAATTTTAAAATAAATGAAAGCTATCGCTTCACGAGAACCTCGACTAATCTCGATTTTCGGTGAATAATAAGTTGTTCTGCCGAAAAATTTACGAAAGAAACAAAAAAGATTTGACAAACCTCGTTATATGGTCATGTTGAAGGTCTTTTATTCGTTTAAATTCCATCAAAATTGAGCGAGACAATTCGAGTTTTGGATATTTTTTCGGATCAATATTTAATTTTTTCACCGCTACTATTGTACCCTAAATTAATAATTTAAATAAATTCTACTCTAATATAATCCTTTAAAACTTCCATAATAAATTAAAAACTGAAACTGGAATTAGAAAAAAAAATATTAATATTAATAAAATATTAAATATAATAAAATATTAATAAAGAAAAGCACGAGTATAATTCTTCGCTTTCAAAAAAATAATTTCAAAAAATTATAATAAATATGTCTAATAAAAAATAAATAATAATTGAATGAATGTGAAATGAGTGCTATCCGAGCGTTTCGCCTTTAAATTCTACCTTATAAATTGCTGTTTTCGTATAAATTTGCGTATTATTCTGCATTTGAATCGTTTCAACAGATCCGCCACTCTAAATAAAATGGTCATGAATGATAACTTTTTTTTTATTAGAAAATCTTGGCCGAATATTATTATTTCGGTTATCATTTTCAGCATTCGGCCGAGATATACCTGTAAAAAAAAAATTCTAATGGCAGAATGAAGCAAGCCAAATCAAAAATGCCAACCTTAATGCTGAGACCAGCAAATGAAAGCTTTCGATTCCGCAAAGATATACTTTTTTTCGTTTGCATTTCATATTCATCATCATTCAGTGATTTCTTTTTCTTTGAATTCCCATCGAAATCAAGTGAAAGAGGTGACGAAATCCGTCGGTGAGCACTTTCGATGTCGATATCTTTGAAGTGTACACCTTCATTATTTGCTGAATATGGCGTTAAAGAAATATTTCTTACCTGAAAAGTAAATTTCTTATATTTCGTGTCGACAATAAAATTGCTGGCGATTCGTATTTCTATCGCCAAATTACTGACAGGATTTGTTCGATCCGATAAGCCAACCTAGTGAGCTTAACCAGAAACGAAGAGCTTAGAACGAAGAATGAATAAATAAAAGGTACCGCGTTCGCGTGATTATGATTAACGATCGGTTGATCAGTCGTCCTATTTGGCAGAGGGGGTGAAAATTTCTTCCTTGTAAAGATACTAAATTTTCGGTCAATCATCGCCGATATTTTTCTCGTAGCACTTGAACTTGAACTTTTCTAAAAACATTCACTAATGATAATTGATAATAAGATTCATCATCAGTGAGAAATTACAATAAAACTTTTAAAATAAGAAAATCGCTAAAAATTTTATTAAGATAATCTTTCCTTGTAATATTTTCAAATAGTTCAAATAGTGCTGGCAACTAACATGCGCAAATTACAATTATAATATTATAAAATCTCCAGAAACATTCAACAAAAACAATAAAAAAAATACAAAACGCGTGCCTAACATATAACATATATAACCTATAACAAAGAGAATTTCATAATGATTTTAAATATTAAAATTTAACCTTAAATTTTAAAGAGAACTTAAATTTCTCTTATAAAGAATAGAAAATTAAATTAAATTTTTGAGTAATTCATGCCATAAATTAATGAAAAATCGTCCAAAAAATGAGAGCCAACAATAAAAATAATTATTTGATTTGAAAAATATAAAGAAAAAATTTACTAATTGGGAATCAAAAATACCGGAAAAAGGAAATTATACCGAAAAAAAACGCTAAAAATTATTAGACAAATAAGAAAAATGATTGAAAATGATGTCTTTTTTCAATAAAAAACGAAAAGCATAAAAAGTGGCAACAAAAGACGACTTATTTCACTTTGCAAATAAAATAAATAAATAAAAAAAACTACAAATTCTCTACGAAAAAAAAAATTATTTGGTGCAAAAAGCGAAAATTCACTAGAATTCAATCAATCAATCACTAGAATTTTGATAAATATAAATAAAATATAAAAAAATTAGCAATAATGTTTTGTGAGTTGTCCTAAAAGACATCAAAATGGTGCTAAAAATTTATTAACGTACCAATCTCATTCGAAATTCCAGCGATTCATGATTGCCCACATCAAACTGTAGTAGTGTTAATTACTATTAATATTACTATTAATATTATTAACAAAATTCATATAACATATTTAAAAAAGCATTAATATCAAAAATATTTATTTTTGCTAGGCGATTTATTAAGCGTGCTAAAAAAAAGATAAGAATTTCAAAAAACGAGTTAAGAAATAAAATTTAAAAAAATTTTTTAAGATAAAAAGCTATAGGATAATTATTTATTGAAATAATTTAATAATTGAATAACTTAATTTCAATAAATTCTATTTTTCCATACAAAAAAAAATAAAGGAACAAATAGCAACGAATAATTAAATTCAATAATTAATTAATAAAGCAGAAAGAACGGAAATAAAAATTAACCTTATCGCTACCTATTGACGACCGACTATTTGTTCGGAGAAGGGCTTCAGATTCATATTGATAGCCGTGAACTTTCCTTGAGCGCTTACTTTTTTTCTTCTCCTTCTTACTTTCGTCACCATTTAAATCTTCCCAGCGTATCTTCCAAGACATTGCTGCTAGTTCAGCTTCAAGTCGATATCTCCTTTAATACATCCTTCTTCATATCAAAACGTACCAAAAAACAAATGTGAAAAATGTTTTTCTACCAAAAAGTTCTACAAAATTTGCAAAAATTACCTCCAAAAATAGATAAACCCAGACATAAGAACCATAATAAAGACGGCTGATCCACTTAATAAATAAACATAGAATGGATAGCCCTCCGGACATTTTGAATGATCCCACCCACAGATTGGTGAGTCTTTCGGCGGTCTGCCACCAACCCAATGAAACTCTGTGACTTGCTTCAATTCATTTGAAGCACCAGAATAATATGCCACCTCCTAAAATATTATAAATAAATTATTTCAAAAAGCTTAATTCATCCCTTTTTTTAAATATATTCTAACACAATAGAATCATATATGATGGCTTTTCACCATTTTTCTAACATTGAAAATTTTAAATTATCCCATCGCAGGCAAATAGATAAGTACGTGGTTAAGCGATCAGCCCTATTTCTGGTTATTTTTATTTTTACGCAGTTGTTATTCAAACATTAATAATTGGAGAGGATAAATGAAAATTGCACCAACTGTAGCCAAGAGCCACCACTAGGGGCGCCTCGACGAATTAAAAGTGATGCCAGAGCGGTGCTATAGTTCTGCCTCCGAACACCTTCCTAGAGTACCGACTTCACTCTAATAATTAGTACAATCCACGCATATAGAAATGGTGAATGTTACTAGAGGATGTTGATTAATGCAATTACGAATTTTTAAATTTACTCCAATTTTTAATGCATTAAATTCATTTTTTTGATATTTGCAGAAAATTTTTTCAATTTTTTCTTTCCAATTTCGATATTTCTTCGACAAATTGAAAATTTCAATAATCACCAATATTACATAAAATTTAATAGTACATAAATTATTTGTTAAAAAAATCTCGAAAATATACAATTCGTTTTCTTTTTCTTTTACACTGCGCAATTTTCGGTAATGAATTATTAGCAACTTTCAAACGAATAAATCTAATGAAATTATCGAAAATTGTAGAAATCAGTTTTTCTGAGAATTTTTAAGTATTCATTAAAAAAACATAACTCTATTTGTATGGATTTTCCTTGCACATCGATTTAATCCATGAGAATCTGGGAATTTCGCAAAATCCGAAGTGTTCTAACAGTAAACAAGAATTTTAGATTTAACCTCCTCCACTGACTAATATTAAAAAATATTGGCTACTGGGGTTAGAAATTTTTGCAGTGGAATCATTTGGCTTTGAAAATATAATTGTTGGCAAAAACATCACCCCCTCGCCTTTCTAATAATAAATTTATTTTTTGCTGAGGCGAGTAGTCGAACCCCCGTTCCTCAACGCTTTGACCTACTACCTAGACCACTATCCTCTTCCTTCCTCAGACAGATAAAATACGCAAATGGCAACGATAAATTCTTCATGTTTGACATGATAAAAAGTTCTATTTTTGGAATGCAATATTTTAAAATCTCACTCACCACAAATTTTTCTTGTTGAGGATCGAGATCGAGTAAGGAATAATCGGAATATCGATCACCATTTTCATCAATCGATACATTACCCGTAATACCTTAAATTTAAAAATTCAATTCAAGTTTTAGAAATAATAAAAAAATAATGGAAATAAAAAAGTAAGTGAATAACATCAAAAGAATAAAGAAATAGCTCGAGCTTAAAACATTTCGGAATGCTGGTACGAACTCAAAATATTTCAGAGCACTAACTCGAACATCTTAAATAGAAAACTGCTTTCAAAAATTAAGGTAAATTAAATTAAATTAAGGTGAATTAAGGCTTATTTTTCCTTGAATACAGCCAGTAATTTCAAAATTTTACCAACGAAAGTTCTACTCCACATTTTACTTGTTATATTGTGACCATTTCGAGGATCAAGTCCCTCGGTTAACGTCTCATTTAATGCGATTGCATATAACAAAACTGCATCATAAAATGCGCTGATGAAATTATTCATCTGTAAATAGTTATATGTCTGAATAATATAATACATTGACTTTTTCCGCCTGCTTGGTTGCCCTAGCCACTAACTAGGATTTTCAAATGTTCTATATTAGCTGTGATAAGGCCAAGATATAAGACCAATAAAAAAAATTATCGAGGTGAGCGATTTCTTTCCCCCTTCTAACTGGCTATAAAGATAATTCCCAAATCGCTAGACCAAATGCCATATCCAAGAGTGAAAGTCGTTCTCTTTCCACTTCTCCTAACCCATAAATCATTAGTAATCTAGCGAAGTAATCTAGCGAAGCCATTTTACACTATAGAGAAAAGTGTTTTTAGTTGAAAAAGTGATATGAAATGATAAAAAATCCATGATATCCATGCATACATGCAAGAGAACACATAAATAAACACATACTTCGTACTCTTTGCCATTTTTAGCTGAATAATTGTACTTCTTCTCGGCACGTTCCTTAACTCGAGATTCGAAATTTTTGTACTCGTCAAGATCGCTACGCCTTAATGAAATTGTTTTCAGTGCTCGATAGGCCTGTTTCGCTTTTTCATTTTCTGGCGAATTTGTCTCATTCGCTCGAATCCACGGCTTCTCCGCATGTGATCTTAATTTTTTAACTTAACTTGTAGAAAATTATTTAAAAATTTCAATTTCACTCTTTTTTCTAATCAATTTTTTCTTTTTTTGTTTACTCAATTTCTCGCTTCTTTTTTTTCAATTAAAAAGCCTGGAAGCATTGTAGGAAAAAGAGAAAATTGATTTCATTTCGGGCATTTAATTAAGATAATTAAGAACTAATGAATTTCTATTAAAAAAAATTATATAAATTCGAAACGGCGGAAAGGAATAAAAAAAAAAATTATTTCATAAATTATAAAAATAATTTCAAAATTATTTAAAAAATTATTTCGGAAAAACCTTTTAATTTTAAGATTAATATTTATTTTTTGTCTCAAGAAATTAGGCGCATCACTAAAGAAAAGAAAAGAAAAACTCATTATTTTTTTTATCATTGATAAAAATCTAAGAATCTGGATGTACTTAAATGAGTGATAAAGTGATTTCATGGGAATAATACAAACAGCAAAAAATAATCTTATAATCGTATATTAAGACTTAAAAATTGTCAAATACCCGGTCGACACATCGATATTAATGAAAACGTATTCTCCTGACGTTGCCATACCAAGCTCATACGCCGCTAACATAATTTCTCGTACGGTATCCGGTGAAGCACATAATATTATCACTGAAATCACGAAAAAAATTATTTCATAAATTATAAAAATAATTTCAAAATTATTTAAAAAATTATTTCGGAAAAATCTTTTAATTTTAAGATTAATATTTATCCAACAGCTTTCCTTCAAAATTTTATGAATAAAGGATTAAATATAAGGCAAAATTTATGCTTTTAATTCATCACTTCCTTGGATATCGAAGATCCTTTTTGCAATTAATCCGCTTCTGGTGAATGAAAAACTGACCTTTTTTTGAATAAAATTATTTAATAATCATTAATGCAAATACTTATTTAACAAAATATTTTTACAAATTTTTCTAAATTTTAAAATTTTGGATATTTTCGATATTTATTTTTCAATTCGAATTTTTGAAAAAAAAACGAAAGTTTAGAGAAAAAAACTATGAATACTTATCAGTATCAATAGAATCAGTCGAATTTTCATTTTCGTACAAATTAAAAGTGCAAAACTTTCGGAATAAGATTAAATTTACAAAAAATTTTAAAATATATAAATTTTAAAAAAATTTACAATTCTCATTTTTCTTTTTTACCAGCCTTCACCACTTCTAGCTAAACTCATTCCGCTGGCTTATCGGACAGAATAAATTTTGCCAATTAGTTGACGACAGCAATATAGATAAGTCACTAGCATCACTCAGAAGCATAGACTTATTTCTGCCCATAGCAGAATTCCAGCAACGGAGCTTCGAATTGAAAGCTTCAACAACCCACTTAGGCATTCTACCCCAAATTATTCCACAGAAATAAACTGAGAAATGACGATGTCAATGAAAACGATAATGACAATCTAATCCTTTTTTCTCTCTTCTATGTTTTTTAATTAAAAATTGCCTTTTGAATTCTAAGCACACACTTCTGATAAGAAAAAAGAATCGAAAAAATATTCACATGCATATACGCAACGTATAAATGCGCGCACATACATACAGATACATGCACATAAATAATATATAATAAATATACATAAAATATATAAATAATATATATATAATAAATGACGGCTAATGGAATTGATTAAATGGAAAAAAAGGGAACTTCAAAATTAATTAATGCAGGATTGATTAAAATAAGAAAAATTTTTGAGAAAAATCTCGCAAAAAATATTTCTGATTTTTTTTTTAGAAAATGAAAGATGAATTATTGAATAGTTTAGCACTTTTCATAAAATCAGTTTAATGATAATTGATAATAATGATAATCAGTAATAATCAGTAATAATAAATGTTAATCGCTCGCCACATATAAATAAGAACTTCAAGTATATATTAATAGAATATTTTAAAACAATTGGAAATATTGGAGTACTAATAAATCGAGCCAACGAATCACAGATTTGCTCGAAGAATGAAAAGAAAATAAAATAAAAACAACTTTTTAACTCGACATTCTTCAGATTATATAAAGGTTTAAGTAAAGTAAACCCCATTTTTTATAAATAAATAAGAAATAACCGAGAAGTAAAAAACAGGATTTCTTACGATATTATTCAATGAAGCGGATAGACTAACAGATTGATAAAGACTAACTTATTCAAATATTCATTTGCTAATACCAAATAGCACGACAATTATCAAAGATAATTACCACGAACAATGATTGATCACTGATAATAACGAATAATAATTATAATTATCAACGATGATAACTAACCGTTCGTTTTCATAGAAGCTGTTATTAACATTTCTTTATAACGCTGTTGGGAAGTTTCCCTTTCGTCAAACATATTTACTGTCCAAACAACTTTTCGTTTTTGATTAAAAGCATTTTTAATAGCGTTTAATGAAAAGAAACATTCCGATCGACCTAAAACCATTCGATTTGCCGACTCATCATGAAAGAAGAAGTGGCAATGTGTCCAACCAAGACGATCAACGATTTGCAAAACTGTATTCGCAATTGTTTTATAAGTACCCATAAGTCGAGTAAGTAGAGGAAATTGCTTCTTATCACCAAGTTCATCAACCATGGCGGACGTCGTGAACACTGGCACGCCTTTGTCCCAAAACTGAGACATCCTCGCAACTGGAGCTAAGGCATACACATAACTCATACCCATAACTGCATCCATCGTTCGATCGCAGTAACGTTCGATGATACGCTGCGGCCCAATCGCATCACTTAAATTGGTATCCACATAGCTGATACTTAAGCTTTTTTCTGGCAAAAGCCTATAGATTGAATAGATATCATCAATAGCGACATCAAAAACTGGTTGACTTTTAGGAATTGTTAGCCGGAACGGATTGCGGAAAACATTTCCCTCGTTGCTCGGTAGTCCAACAACAATGTTTATTGGAAATTCCGTGTACGGTTTCGACTTCCTCGTTCTTGATTGAGTATTTCTTATTGCCAATAAAAAGAAAAATATATAATCGAATTTTATTTTTTCTATAAATTTCATTTATAAACAACGATTTTAGGCAAAATTCTTTGCATCAGAAAAAGTTGGCTTCTTTAATTTAAATAATAGTTCAGAAAACAATGATCCATCAAAAATAAAAATGACAAATCGACAAAAATAATAAGCGCAGATCGTCATCGTATTTAGATAAAGTATGAATATCAGTGAATGAGTGATAAGCTGATAAAATAAAGGAACGACAAAAGATTTTCAAGGATTATGTAATAAAGTTTCGATTATATTGTAATAGTATAAAGAAAAGAAATAATCAGTGAATATTAATGGAGAGGAATGTTTGTATAAATTGATAAAATAAAAATTAGGTTGAATTGCTTTTGCTGAATATTAATACAAAAATAAGTAGCAAAGCCTCTCGGGTGTGTAAACGAAAAAAACAGAGTTGATAACAAGGCAATTCATTTGAATCATTTTTAAAATCACAGCGTCACAGGAGAATTATCCACGAAGATTAAATTATCTTGATGAATCCTCTTGTCTCATAAGAGAAATGTTTTTTAAAAGATTTAAATATAGAATGGAAAGAGAAATAGAACGACGAAGCATCGAGATATAAGATGATAATGATAGGCCTGGGCTTTGGCTTGAGATCACCGCTAATGGCGAGCGTAACAGCGAAGGGAATTAATGAAAAAAAGGACGGCCATACGCAATGAAGATTTATAAAAATATTCAGCAGCAGTTAGCTAATAGATTAACGAGAAAAAGAGCGACAAAATTAAAATTGCCTGACTTGATCTCAGCTTTCTTCTTTTCAATATCTCCTTGGGCAAAAATATGGGTAATTTGATTTGGCACAACTTGATGGCATGAAGCTTTCACAAATTAACACTAAATATTTCATCCACTACGACTTTTTTTAAACAACATTTCCCATATAAGCGCTCCACCCTTTCCATATAAAAACCAATCGTAGTCAGCTTTTTGCCATATTTTTCCACTTACCGATCGAGTTTAAACAATAAGCTTTTATCACTTTTCCTTTGAACTATTTGAAATTTCCTTTAAAGTGAATATATTAAATATAATAAATATAAATTGTAGAATAAAAACCAGCGATTCTAGTGTTTCGCTAATATTTATTTCTATCGGAAGCGACTTCCACCGCGCAAAATTCGCTGAACCGACAAGCGAGTTAAGCGAATCAGAACCGGTAAGTTCTTAGAAAAAAAAAGTTCTTACAAAAAAGGTAATGAAAAAGTGAATTTCCACTGTGTTTGATTACTAATAATCCCTAACAATGAAGACTACTTTTTACGGAAAAACTACTATTCACTTTTCAAAAATTCTTTTGAATTTTGTGCAACAGGCCAATTTATAAAAAAAATAATATTTCGATAATAGAATTATAATTATAATGGAATGGGAAAAGTGAAATGAGAAATAATTTTAAAATTTGGAATTGCCAAACGCAATTTGATTTGTTTGAAATTTGAGATTCGTTAAACGAGTAATAACTAAGGGAAAGGTAAATTATTTCTGAGATTTTTTATAGAGAATAATTTGAAAATATATGAAAATCTTAGCAAATACAAATTCGCTATTCTAAATAGCGATTAGTCAAAGGTGAAATAATTCTTTCTAATTTCTAGCACGAATACAATAAAAGTAACACCTTAGGTATTATTAAAATTCACGTTAGATGCGAAAAGGATAAGTTGTCTAGTTCGTGAACAATAACGATTAATTTCAGTCCAATAAATAGACATAAAACCTAATATGGTTCCATTTACCGGGTTATAGATGGATAGATAACCTAATGTGGGTCCATTTACCGGGTTATAGATGGATAGATAATCTAATGTGGGTCCATTCATTCGTATATCAATTTTTATCAATCGAATTCGAATAAAACGCATTAAAATTGCTTAAATAGATGCGAAAAAAAATTCGATGAAAAAAAGAGGAAAAAAATTGCAAAATTGAAACTGAAAATCTTTCATAAATATTCAATTTGCAATTTTAATTTAGAAGACTCACATTTCTAAAATTACAAGAAAATAATTAAATTGCAAATAAATTTTGGATAAAAGAAAAGAAAAATAAAAAAAGTTGATTAATTATTAAAAATCCACTAAAAAAAAATAAATCTGAAAAAAACCGAGTGAAATGAAAAAAACAAAAGAGATTTTTTGAAAAAATATACTGTCTAAACGAACGTTTCTAAAAAAACGTTGTCTTTAGCATGAAAAATTACTTGAAAATAATTTATTATTCATAAAAGTAAAATAATTTCAGCGGAAATTCCAATATTCGATTTTTTTAATGCAAAATTTTTTTTCTTCTTTTAATATTATTAGAAAAAAGAATTTCCTTAAGAAATAGCAAAATGTAAAAGTAAATTGAGAAAGAAAACCTTCAAAAATGATTTAGTTTTTAATAAATGAAAGAAATTTATACTCGACTTGCAAAAAAAAAGAAAATTCCGCAACGGTAAAACTTGAAGATCTGACAAAACTAAAATGCCTCACTAAATAACGGAAATTAGGGTAAATTCGGCGAACGTTTTCCATTTTCCTCCTAAATACATTACACCCCCTCTCTCTATTTCCTCCCATCACTTCATTCTATTTTATTTTAAAAGCAAAACTTATTTAAAATTTTAAATTTTAGAAATTTTAGAAATTTTCTATGCCTTTAGGAATTCAACGCTCTTTTATTGTTATTATTATTTTTATTTTCATTATTTCTATTACTAATATTACAACTATTATTATTACTATTGTCATTATTGTTACTATTGTCAGTATTATAAATACTAAATAAGATAATTTTATTAAGTAGCACTTAGGATTATGAACGATTTTTCTTAGCATGCGAGATTTAATTAAAACGTTTAAATTCCTTTCATTTGAATTCAGAATAAAATTACTACAAATTTATTACAATTCGAAATTAATTCATTTAATCCTTCCATCATTAAAATTTTCCAGCATAAAAATAAAAAAATTGAGCTTAGTACTCATTGGCTTGACGAGAGAAGACGAGCATTTTTCGAAAATAGGTTTACCTCCACAGAGAACAGATCGCAAGCACCGGCGTTCCGAAATGACAGCAATGCATTGAACATTTCACTCCAAAGGAACAAATTTTTTAAAATAATTCTTTTAGCTTTTTTCATTGTTGCAAAATTAATTATTTTATAAAATTAATATCCAATAATTTATTTTATTCATATTTTTAAATTATTAGAATTTCATAAAGTAATTTCGAAGCTGTTGCTTATTTTTCACCAAATTTTTTATCCTTTAAGCATACTTAATTTTCGAATGAAAATCCAGTTAAATTAGCAATTTTTAGTAATATTCATCGAATAAGAGTTCCTTTTTTCCTAAGAGCATACACCATTTCTGGATGGACATTCGCTCCGCCGACCAGATAATCTTTTGCGGGGAAACATTGCAGAGAAAGGGAATTTTTAAGCATTTTATCAGCATTTGTCATTTATCAGTGCTCAACATTCGTTTTTTTTCCTTGACAAACAATTTTTGTCAATTTATCTACAATTAGCAATTTAATTTAATCAGTCATTTCGTTTCTTTCATTTTTTATTTAAATTAAATTAATTCAGGAAATATAAATTTTTTATTCGGAGAAATTTACTTTTTCTTAACCATTAAAATAAGAGTACTCCGTGTTTAATAAATTTCCTTTATTATTCGCTTCTTCTTTTCGGTTAACCATTTTTATTCGATTTATTTTTCAGAAACTTCTTTAGAATTTCGAAAATAATTTATTATCAAAATTAATAATTTAAAATATGAAATTCATTATAAACAAAATTTTTAAGAATATTCGAAATAATATTTAAAAAGCGATAAAAAATGATAAAAAATTTTTAAAAATTAATTAATTAAAAAATATGGATGAGAAGCAATTTAATATGCATAGATCATAAGTTGGATTAAGGCTTTTATTATAGTAAGTCGATAATACAAGAAAATAAAGAAGGATTTTAAAGAACAAATTTTTGGACAACAATCGCTTTCATACAAAATTAAAGCGACTTAAAGTGGTACTTGGAATTACAAAAAATGAAACCATTAAAAAATATTTTTCTTCTTCAAATAAAACTAAAAATTTATAGCAAAACAAGTAAGAACATTTCGCTGACTTCATTTACCGAAAATTTACAGAAAAAGGGAATTTTTAGTGCAAAATTTAAGCCTATTTTAAGAAGAAAACTTTTGATAATTGATATAATTGATAATTGATATAAAATATTTAATTTTTTCATAATTTGTCGATTACATTAAATATTATTTTACCACTTTTTAATTTTAATAATTTAATAAACCAATTTGCATAATTGAATTTTGCATGAGAAAATATAACCTCAATTAAATATAAAAAAAAGGAAAAAAAATCCCAAATTACGATTATTATTAATCATGTATTTAATGTTGCATTTCACTATTACTATTTATTGTAATATTATATTTATTATCATTGTTATCATATTATTATTGCTAATATTATTATAATTAATATTATTATATCAATGAGCAAAAAAAATCCAAGGTGAACTCTTAAAGGCAAAAATTTAAGAAAAATATATCTTATAAAGATTTTGAGTATATTGAGAGTATAAATATTGAGTATTTTGAGTATGATAAAAGATAATGATAATAAATTTTATTTATTAATTTAATTTTTTTAAACAGTATTCACCATTGCTGGTTAGACTCGCTCCACTGGCTTGTCGGACTAGACTAATATACCAGGGATTTCCTCGACGATAGAAAAACAGGCGAGTCGCCAGCATTACCCGGTAAAATTTATATATATATATATATTTAAATATGGAAAGTTTGAAAATACATGTAATGCCTGTTCTCTTCCTTTCCCCTTAATTTTTCCCAATGACTTTGTTAATTTCATTGTTCATTAGAGAAACTTCGTTTAATGATGGTATTCTTATATTTATATAGGAAAATAATGAGCGAAACAAAGATTTCGCTCAGTTTAGTACAGCAATTTTT